GATAGATAGATAGATAGATAGATAGATAGATAGATAGATAGATAGATGCTGAGTACACAATATAACTATGTCCTCTGATATAAGTGAGACGGCTTCACTGTGGCCAGATGTGATGACCTAAGAAGGTCACTAGGTAGTTGGATAACATTTGAATTCTCCTGAATTTGAGTTCTTTGGGTACAAGCCTCACACAAGACATATTTGGCAAAAAGAACAAACTTCATCATCACGCCCCTGCTGAAGTTAGGAATAGGAGGCATCTTCCTCCTTATTGGTACCTGTGACTCCTTCAGTCCCAAGCTGACAGCGAGTTTCCTTCGGTCTGTTTTGCTGATGTATTTCTGCTTCTGAAACATTTTCTCCAGGGCCTTTCTCTGGTCCTCTGAGAACACAGCTCTTCTTAAAATCCCCCTTCGAGCTTTGGCATTTGAGTCCTGGGTCAGCAGAGGCAGCCCGTGTTCTTCTCCTGGCAGAGAGGAGCAAGACAAAAGGGCACAGGGTTAGAGAAGAGTTGTCCTTAGACTCTCAGAAGAGCCGCACCTCATAGTGGGCGCAGTGGCATAGCTCTACAGTGAGAGCCATGCTGCTTAAGCTCTCTGGGTCATGGACTTCTTCGGCGACCAGATGAAATGTTGATCTTGGGAGGATGCTCCAAGGGGTCAATAAAATAACACAAAAATAGCGCCATGTCCTATGAGTCTGTCTCCCCCTTGGCAGCTGAGCTGGTCCTTAAATGGATCATACATATGCCTCACCGGCCACTCCCAAAGTTCATGGGGTAACGCAGGTCCAATTCTATGCAAGGGACACAAGCTCACACGCCACCCAGACACTCTCAGTTCGGCCTGGCTCTTCCCTCTGCATTTGGGTGCCCTGGATTAACAATTGTTTCCAATCTAACGGTGTAGACCGAAGCATTAGAAATTAGAAGAGAATGGCAACGACCCGAAGACATATATAAACTATCCAACTGATAAGATCTTGAAGAACCTTTGAAAGTAAAGACTAAGAAGACAGACAGCAGTAAGGAAAGGGCTGCATGTGATGTTTTAAAAGAAGGCCTCAAAATCTGCACTGTGCTTACAGCAAGGAAAAGGGGCCCAGGAGAACAAAGTGAACGCTACTGTGAGTGATCGCAGAAATGTGGGCGTAAAGCGCATGCCCGCTGTCGGCAGTTTAAGCTCCAATCTATTTCCCAGTGGGGACCAGCTTGGCTGCTGCATAGGCGTTGCGTGAGGGCTGACGATGAGTCCAACCTGTCCTTAAGATGCTCGCAATTGGCGAAGAGAGGCCCACGGGCTCAACAGTGAGGGGAGCACGTGACCGTCACAGGGACCACAGAGCAGCACAAGAGCCACAGCCAGAGCAGGAGAGCCCACGGAAGATAGGCAAACAGCCAATCCCCAGAAAAGTAACTTCACAGCGTCAGTGTCGGGAGGGAGGCAGGACGCCAGGCGAGGGCAGCTTTGGAGAAGCTGCATCGAAGAGTCACACAGAGCCTGCTGTCTCCAGTGTGTTAGAGGCGAGGGTGTGTGTGATGAGCTTAGGATAGAATTTGATCAGGGAGGCCTTGCTCAAAGACAGGATGAACCCAGCCCTACAGAGAGGTAAGCATTTTAGGTTTAAAAAAAACAAACAAAAAACTTCTACATTTATATGTGAAGTATAAAACCTTATAGACTACTGAGGTAATAAAATAAACTGAATTTTCCCTTAAATAGAGTTGTACCCTAGGTTTCTGCCTTTTTTCAGTTTTAACTCCTATGCCAAGTTCTAGATCTCAAGATAAGGCAATGGGGAGATGAGACTCATTCAAATATCCCCACAATCTTTAATAGAAGTCCTAACAAGATATTTTTAGGTTTAAAAAAAAAAAAAAAAAACCATATTCCTGTCGAGGATCTATGGATGCAGTTCCAACATTGCGGGGAACATAAACCGAAACCAGGCCTCACCCTATGAAGAACAAACCTCCTGGGCCCATAACCAACTTTGGGTATTAACTTCTGTGCCAACTTTTTCTGAATTTGGTGCCCTAAAATGAACAGTAACAACCAATGAACAAACGAAATCCGTGGCAAACGCAAAGAATGCTATATCCTTCGTGTCTTTTCCATGTGTCTGCTGCATTGGTGTCCTCATTCCTCACAACCACGCCCCATACCCAATCTCACACACATGTCATTTTACCATGGCAACTCCACACCCGTTTCCATTGACCATGCACCAGGACTCCGTGTGAGGGTTAGCCTCTTTGGCTTCCTGACTCCCACCCTGGGCAACAGTCCCATGCCTATTGCTACAAGAAACCCTAAATAGTCTTCTTCAGGGATACATATTCCCCATAACCCCTAAGCACCGATATGCATTGGGCTTACGAGTCGGCAAAAATGCAGAGGGGAAAGGATAGAGCAGCAGCGTACGCACCATGGTAGGCCATTAGAGAAGTACAGACAGGTAATCCATGCGTGCTGTTTTACATTTTAAAACATTTCCTAGTAAAAACAAGCAGCCACTACAGCAGTCTTAAGGGGAACAGAGTTCCCGCACCATTCCCATGGACTCTGTCATCCTTCTAATGAACTCGGCATCCTCTCAGAGCTGGAGGAGAGAGAGGCCACTTGTATGATCCAAGCTTTTCCTACAGGCTAGTTAAAATACCACTAGCCTCCATTTACTGTTCCTTCAGATTTTGCCATTTCAATCTGGAGTGTGTCTCCTGATGCCAGTTTTCCCTGGCTGAGGGTGAGGGTGTTGTCTGCAGGCCTGTGCCATCCTGCAGCACTTTCCCAACAGTTACAACTGCTCATCTTCTGCTTCCAGATGTTTATATCCTATGCTCTTCTCTTCCATGAAGAGATGCCTCAGCATTATTTTCAAATACAAACCCAAACCCTATCCTCAGGCCTTCATACAACCCAGAATTTGGTCTTAGGACTCTCCTCAACTTAGACACTTCTTCACCAAGTTGGGTGTGAGAAGTGCAGAGGTCCTTCACTCAGTGGCTTCCTCTTAGCTTGGATTTTACATGAGAGTCTATTTAATGTGCCTTAAAAGGGTCTCCTGAACCAAAAAGTCATGGTCAATCTAAGCCTTTCAGAATCTAGTAGGAATGTGGCCTCCTCAGCAGAGCCTATGGCTAAAGCACACTTCGTATCCTAGTGACATTCTACAGACAAACACTGAGACGGCATTCCACTTTTCCCCACTTTGCTCTGTCCCGCCCGTCCATCCTACTCCTTCCTATTCTGTATTTGTGCACTCTTTTAGGGAACCAAAAATCAGGATTTTTATAAGCAGCCATACGTATGACTTTGTGTTACTCAGGGAATGGGTTATAGACAAGCAGCCCACAGGCCTGGGATGTCCCCACCTCTATGACCTGGGCTGAACACTCAGGCAGAGAAAGAACTGCACCTCAGGAATGAAACTCATACTGCCCTTGCCTCTCTAGAGCTTTGAATAGGGCCATCAACTTGGAAAGCCTATTGTTTTGAGTCTCTGATCCTTCAGACATTCTTCTTGGCTGACCTAATGTCATTTATCTGTGCAACACCACTCCATCACTTTTGAGAAGTCAATACCTATAACCCAACAATCTATAAACTCACTGATCTTTAAGCAGTATAATCAGACTTCTTTCTAAATTAAAAAAAAAAAAAACAAAAAACAAAAAAACAAAACTATGTCTCTTCGAAGATCTTAGAATGGCCACATTAAATCTTTCTATATGTTAGCTATTTTATATCTGTGTGCATGTGTGTGCTGGGAATTGCTTTCAGTCTCTCCTAGGTTTCCACAGCCCTGGCTCTTCAGAGGACCCATCACTCCAGCTGAGAGCAGTAAAACCAACACCCAGGTCAGGTGACAACAATATTAACCAGAGCATTGCCCATCTTTGAAAGTGAAACCCCTTAATCTCCAGTCACCCCATAAAAAGCATGCCCCTTCCTTGCTGTCTTCCACACAATGCTACACTAAAGCTTGGAGCAGATATGATGTTCTTTTAAGTTTTAACAAGGACAAAGAGACAGTGATGAGCTGGAAATGTCAAATCTGAGTACATCTTCCAGGAAAAGGCAGAGCAGTTTGTCCTGGTAACAGGTTTTCTCTGCTCAGACTTATAGAAAGTTGGTTCCAAGTTGAAGTTCTGTCTTCTAGGAAATAAAATTCTTAAAAGGTCAAGTTTGGTACTCAAAGACAAAATTAAATAATTATCTAATTAACTCAATTAGCTAGTCCACCTAATTAAAATTTCCAACTTTTAATTTAGCTTTAAAAAAAAAAAGTCATTATCCACATCATTTCCACAACTTTCCTTTTCATTTTGGCTGAGAAATGTGTTATTTTTGAAAATAAGTTTATGAGTGTAATATCAAAGATTTTCCGTGCAGTGCTTTAGGGGAGGGGCCAGCTTTTACTGGTGCCTTTCAATTTTCTCTACTGCTCTCAATGTCTTAGCATTGTGCCTATTAAACTGTTTACTGCATGCGAGAAGGGCACCGGGCAAATGATGGCTTCCACATTTGCAACAAGGAGTCAACCCTACAGCTGAGAAGCTAAGAAAATTCCAGTGGACATTAAACAAATGCATCACGTTAAGAGTGGAAGGAGCATTTCACTTGCTTAGCTACAAATGTGCTGACCCAGTCCTGGGCCTGGGGAGGGAGCAGAGTCGACATTGTGCAGAAACAAGAGCAGCCACCAGTTTCATCACTTGTTAAAACTTTTAGTATAAACCTTACTTTTGGCTGTCCAAGTGGAAACTTAACACAAGCTTACTTGAACAGTTCATTTTCTCCCTCTCTCTCTCTCTCTCTCTCTCTCTCTCTCTCTCTCTCTCCCTGCAATGGAAAATAATTTAGCAACTTGGACATAAACACTTATTATTAAAAAAAGAAAAGAAAATCTAGTAAATTCCTTTAGTGAAAAGGCGCTGCAGATCTAAAGCTCATTAGCTGTACCCTGGGTATCACGGTTGTTTATGTAGAACTCTTTATGGACAACAAGATGGCACCGTATTATTAGTTGCTGCCAGCGTGAATGAGCATTCTAAATAGGAAAATAAGAAATTGATTTCAGAGTCATGAGTAATAACGTGACACGGCACCATTTATTAAAAACACATGCAGCCTCTCCAAATGGTCCTGAGAGGCCAGTGCGAGGAGGGCAGACAAGTCAAGGGCAGTACTGCCCATCCCTGATGTGAACCGCACTGGTCTCTCAAGCCATGTGTCCCCCCCCAAGATAAACATGGGGCTGGAAGCCCTGAGGGCTGAGCATCATTTACAACAGCTATGTAGAGGGCACTGGCTGTGAAGGGCTGGGAAGTAATGAGAGAAAATGCGACCTGCTTAAAAATAATCGCTCGAGCCTTTGAGCGGATGACGTGCTCGGTTAAAGAGCCTCAGTGCTTTGTTTTGTTTTGTTTTGTTTTCCTATTTATGAAACGCCCAGACTTTCATAGGCTAGACACTCTTAAAATGCTGCTACAAAACAGCAATACGTGTACCCACGTATACCCTTAGCATACCCCATTACGCGAGCTCCCCTTGTGTCTGCTCACTCCATCTTGAACTTCAGCACCAGCAACCTCCTGAAGCAAACGATACCAAGATGGAGTAAGTGAAGCTAAGTGTGCAGCCTCTTCAGTAGCCAGAGGTGCCACTGGGATGAGGCTTTAAGCATCTGAGTTTAAGTGTCTCCCTCGGACATCTTTCCCTGCCACTCTATAACTGGTGATAAATGGTGCCTTGATTTGCACAGGTTTTTCAATCGCCCTCATAGAGGACCACCTTGAAGGAGCGAGTAGAAGGTTTAGTCACGGTTTCTATCTCACTATTCAAATTCAATGCATTCTAGTCAAATCGACAATTAATAGATCACTGCCAGAATAGCAGTGTATCGGTCCTGGTTAATAAACAATCCTCACAGTTGATAATGGGCCCCTGTGCATTCAGCAAGTCCCTATATGCACTCAGCTCAGCCACTAAAATCCCTTTCAGGTGGACAGGGCTATATGGGAAGATGAGCCAGAATGAGTCTATAAAAGTCAGTTTCATTCACGGCTTTATTTTTCAGTCAAGGGCTTTAAATGGTGTCCAGAAATTCACTTGGGATGTGAAGCAGGAGAAAAGGCTGACACACAGAGCCTGGCTTTATGACCGCACAAAAGGACAAATGACCCTTGCCCAAGCCCTCTCACTGTGAAATGGTCCCTAAAGTTCATCTGCCGAGTGAAAAATTGTGGTGAGGTCGCGTGTGGATGAGTCCAGCAAAAGTGAGGATTGGTCACGGGTCTGTCACCCATTGTAGCCACATCCCAGCCGTGCAAAGCGCTCTGTGGGAAAGTATCAGCCTCCTAAAGAGAAGCCCAGGAGCCCGCAGCTCATTAAACAGCAGCATTTGCTGCCTCTCTTGTCGGGAGTCATCTGGGGGGGGGGGGGGGGGTGGCACTCCTCTCCTGAAACATCCATAAAACCCAGGAACACATAGCGGGCCGGGCCGTAAGGGCTGAAGACATTCATGGGCCTGTGGCTTGGGGCTGGCCCTCTCTCCACGCTCACCTGGCGTGGCTGTGTCCCTGTGTAAGTGCCTTCTTGTGACTCACGCAAACGCTCATCCTCTGCCTGTGGGTTTCACCGACATCCCAAGCCACCTGTAACGCGGTGTCTGAGCGAGAGAACCACGCTGCTCTGTTTAGATTCTCCTCTTCCCAGACACAAATGGATTTTGCTTTTATAACGTTTAGAGACCAGGTTCCTGAAAACATTGCCTGCGATCCTGCCCAGGCTTCTTCAGGAGGACAGAGACAATAATTTACCCCCTTTTGTGATCCCCGAGCTTCTAATCAATCTCTAGACCTGTGTTTTTCTGAGTCATTTTAAGCCGAATGGAAACGCCACACAGAGCACCCTTTTTACCCGCTTTCCCTTTTCTCCCTTCTTCAACGGAGTGTGGCTGCAGGCTTCAGAAAGAGCCAAACTGGTCCCTCTGAGATCTTTTATATCAAATGGAAAACAAGCCCTTGCCTTGGTGTGTCGGCCCCGGGTTTAGTGTTGCCGAAACCGGCTCACAATCGCTCACTGTGCCGAGGTTTGATAATCTCTGGAAACCTCCTGAATAGGGTCGCTGTGATTTTTTTAGTGAGGAATTAGCTCCTTGCCGCTGCACTGCCAATTAGCTTCCCCGAGCACATTAAATCCTGCTGCTTTGGTTTACAGAGTAACTGAGGCATTGCTGATGAAGCATTAAAACTTACTTGAAAAAGCTGTGGGGGAGGCAGGGCGCCTGCAGGACCCACCGCAGCACGCAGAGTAGAATGGCGAGGCGCTCAGAAGAAAAGGTTTGGAGGGCACTGCAGAGAAAGCATTGATCTCATTGATTAACCGTTTCTTTTACACAATATTCAAAACTCCAGCTTCCCCGAGCCCCTGAGCAGGAGGGCTGCGTTGCTAAACCTCCCCTCAGTTCTAACTTGTACTGAAATTAAAGTCATTTTAAAGTGTCAAAGTTCCTGCCAAGCGCTTTCCTCGGATCTGGAAGATGTGGTGGAAAGACCGGAACCAGCGTGGTTGTAATTACAAATAATGAATGCCGACTGTTCTTTATACAAGACACACGAGGGTAATAGTATGCAAGGAGCATCTGCAGTGATGGGCAGGCCCCTATCCGCCCTGGCCAACATGGCTGCTCCTGGCCAAAGGCAATCGCCAAGCTCAAATATATGGCTAGCTTGAGTAGGTAGTGAATCTTCAGACCAAATTCATTTAAATTTAAAGAGTCTCCTGTGAATAAGGATTACAATATTAAATGGCATGGTTCTAAAGGTCCGACTTACCAAGAAACAATTTAAATGTCTTTTTTTTTTTTTAAAGAGATTTTATCACTTCAGTGTTCATTTTCAGGTTATATGAAAGATGTGGTTAGCTGAATTCCTGAGATGGTACGAGCTAATTTACTGAGCAGTACCATAATGAAAGTACTGTTTCTGATTGAAGCCACTTGTTTTAAAGTGTTCACAAACAATCACATTGCCTCTCAAGGTAAATCTAGTTACCAGAAAGCATTTTACGCCATAGCGGGTCTCCCTTAGTTCTATCCTGCTCAGTTTATTCAAACACATGACTCACAAGGCTGTGAAGGGCTGTTTACGGAATCCTGTGTGTGTGGAAAGGAGACCTGAGCAGTGTGTCTGAAAAGGTGTCTAAATAATCATGAGGGATTTTTTATTATTATCATATGCTGTTCTTAGATTTTGACTGCACCATTACAAAGATAATAATCATTTTATTGAAATACAGTATTTAAGAAAAATATTGAACTCCATTCATTGCTCCATAGAAAAATAGTTATGAAGACCTTGGTGGACTCTAATAGCTGTTGTTATTGAGAAGTAAGTGCCAAGCCGAGTTAAATGGCTTCAACATACCATGGCCTTTAAAAAAATGCATTTAGTACAATATAGAAAAATATAGGTCATGATTCCTGAATGTAGGCACCTGCTTTTGCCTTGACATATGTGGCATCATTAACTGACAAACTGTAATTGAATAAAAGGTCTTTGAAATGAAGAACAAGAAACATTCCTGTTCTTCTAAGGGAATGGGGTAAAACATTAACCTTGTTCTGCACCCCAGAACACCCTCAAATCTTTTGAGGTTGATGACCTTGAAATATAAATCTCAATAATAATAATAATCAATAATAATAAATAATAATAAATAAAGATTATTATTATTATTTTCTCTTATCTTTATGTGGCAACATTTTTTTTTCTTGATCACACCAGGTAATTTTATTTTGATATGCCTACATACCTTTTAAAGAACATGGTATTTTCAGACTTGCACTCTTATATTAAAAAAGCATGTAGTTATTTTAGCCAATTTATTTAAAAGGAACAATAAAACAAATAGATTGCCCAAGAAAAGTATTTACGGTATTTGTAAAATCCCAAAGGCCTCAAAACTGTAAACAAGTTAAAAACCCAGTATCTGTCTCTCCTATCAAACAATGTTGAGATGTCGATATAATTGTTTTTATTTATTTAATATCTGAATTTCTAAAAAAAAAAAAAAAAAAACCCATAAGTGTTTTAATGCTGTTTTTAAAATTGGTAACTCAGCAAAGAGAAGAAATGACAAATTATCTTGGTTTTCCCAAATTAATAAAAGACATAGCTTCGGTACTTTTGTGAATTATTCTAATGTTGACCATAAAACCATCACAGACAAGATCATTTTACTTGAACTATACATTTTATATTGGAAGCATACTCCATGAAACCGTAACAATGTGGTCACTTAAACAAGATCTGGGTAATGACACCAGTTGACATTCCAACATGGAAGGGGAAAATCTTGAAGAGCTACAGGCAATTGTCAGCTGCTAAGAGAGGGAGAATTAGTCTTCTTGAGTGACAGACTGCCTGGTATGTCTTCCAGTCCCAAGCGGTTGGCGTTAAACACACACACACACACATAAGCAACACAGAAGGGACTCAGCAGTTTGTGTGTAAAGAAGAGGTGGAGAGGGAGGAGGAGGAAGCGAGAGTAGTTGAAGGTAGACAATATGGAAATGATACAAATACACTACCCAGGTATGAAATTCTCAAAAAAGAAAAAGGAGTTAAAGAAGAATATGACAGTTTTAGGTAGATTACATTTCCATTACTACTTATAGATATATGAGTTTGCATCTTTGTGTTTATTTTCAAGCATTTCTGTTAACTTATTACCTCTCTGAAATGAGAGTTCTTTACATAATTATGCACGGCTATTGGGATTTTAGGCTCTTCTTTGTTTTTACTAGGTATGGAAAAAAAAAAGAAAAGTCCACATTGCAATTACACATATAAAGTTTAACATCTACCATGTAGCCTGGAAGCATCAAAACTGTGTATGTCCACTTGGGTTTTGTTCAAGTATAGAACATAGAAGACTATACACCAGTTACACCACAAAACAATGCAAGGTATAAATAAAGGATAGAGTTTCCTATTCTAACAAATTGTTCCCCAGTCTTTGCCGATGGCCCTAACAACAGAAAAATAATGGCTTAAAAATTTAGTTCCTGTGAGACAAGACACCGATTAAACTCATGTGTGATGATGTGGCTTGAAAGCACGTGATCTGATGTTAAACCAGGAAAGGTTTAATTCAGCATTCTGCTACAATGCCATGCATTGCTCCATTTAAAATCTGTAAGCAAAGTGACACAAAATCTTCAGTTGCAGAAGTATAGTCAAAGTCTACAGTAATCATTCTAATAGGGGCAATGGAAACTGGCCTCCCCATTGTGATATGACAAGACTGGCAGGTCTATTGTGCAGAATGTTTTCACCATCTTAAATCATCTCTTTGACACGCACACTTAACAGGAGGTTAGTCAGCTCCTGACTGCTATACATACATACACCTTCTTTAGACTGGTTTATGTGGAAATTGCTGTGAAATTCCAATTAAGTGCTCCTTTTTTACATCTGACGGAAGGCAAGTACCAATACATGTGAGTCTGTGATACTGAGTGCTGAGTGGCAGTCAGAGGAAACCGAGATTTGAAATAACACGAAGCATTCAAAATACACATTACACTTTTAATATTTGTAAACAACATACTTTTTGGAAGCCATGAGTAAAAGGCAAACTGGAGGCTGATGAGAGCAAGTGCTAGGCTGACAGATATCTCAAAACCATTAGGCCCTTAGCAGATGCTTTGAAGACGCTCTGAAAAAGGCAGGAAAGGGGCAATTTAATCCCTGATAAACATTTCAGATTCAGTCACTGAAGTCTGTATGTCATTATTTGACCATTTATCGTGGCAGGCCTCCTGGCCAGTAGCTGTACTTGTATGCTGGCCCCTGGGCTGGCCCTGAATTTAGCACATCCTCCCTCCACTCACTGACACTGTACTTCAAAGGGACAGGCATCTGGCATGTGAATGAATTCTTTCAAAAATGCTAAAAATGAGCAAGATACACCATGGTGATCTTCACATAATGACTGATTATTAGCTAAGAAAGTAGGGACTGGATGAGAGGCAGATTCTAGGAAGTGAAATTATTCCCAGGATTTGTTTTCAAGAAGTCTAAACTGTGACTTGAAAAATAGTATATATTTGAAGAGACTATCTAGCCTATGGTAGACCCCAAGACGAGGCTGTAGAGGGAGGCAAACCTCTGTCCAGTCAGACCCAAGAACTACCCATTGCTTAAGCAGGCCCCCTGTGTTGTCACTCAGTCAGTCACACAGTCAGTTTGAAGCAACGCATTTGTGTGATCCAGTTGCAAACTTCACTTTCAGTCAGCAGGAAAACAAGCTAAGAAGGTCCATCCATTTACCTTTCTGGTCCACAGGAAACAACAGAAGTGGGCATTTTGGGTTTTGCTTCAAGTGTTTGACAAACAGAAAATAGCAGGTATGGGAACAGCTCATGAGAAGATAATTCCAGGGAAATGCTTCTTGCTTGATTCTGGCCTTTAAACCCATGTCAAATACGAGCTACATTCTATCAAGTGCCAACTTGTGTACTGCCTGCTAAGCCTACAAAGACAAAAAGGGCAACTTTTTGTTGCCAATCCTTGAAATTTTTGCTTTTTGCCTTTTTGTTTTTCTAAATAAACTAACAGATCTGAATCTCCTAGTTTAAAAAAAAAAAAAAGATGGAAGGGAAGGTATAGATTTTCCAGTACTCCAAATTTTATTCTATCAAACCTGATGCATTCCCCAAGAAGATAAAAAGAGTTTCATATGTTTTCTCCAAGCAATGCTTCTCAGCTCTGAACACACAATATATACAATGTACGCAAAAATACTGATGTCTGGCCTCCATATCAACAAGGATAAATCAGACCTGGATTGTAAGAGGCCCCTCACTTAGCATTGGTTCAAAAACTCCACAGGTTATTATAATGTCTAGCCAGGACGATGTCGCTGAAAAGAGTGCAAAACAATGCCTAGCAGACAGCAGTGCTCCATGGACGGTCGCCCTTCCCCCGCCTGGATCATGTGTGAGTGGAGGGCGATACTGAGGCCACATGGGAAAAGACGCGGTGTGGCCGGGGCTTCTGCTGAGCTACACAGTGCTACCGACACACCTGGCATCTCTGCACTCTGAAATGTACAAAGGAGAAAAACAAACAAATTTAACTGTAGTCAGGAAGGCTTCGCTAAGGGTGTCCTTAAGCATGACAAACACCTTTGGATGTTTGAAAATCATTTGAAAAGCACTCAGAATGACAAAAGGAGAGAAAGGCATTCTAGTTAGGAGAAGTGGCATACAAAGGAACGGGGATGTCGAGCAGGTTAAGAAAACTTGTCCAACTTCCGGGGCCAGGTCAAAGGAATGCAGCACCAA